TTTTTTGATTTTTAATTATTCTTGGAAGGAATGAATTTAATATGTGTATAATGAATACCTTTTAAACCTATTTTTGGTAACTATCTCATTTCTCTTGGTATGTTGTGAAAGGAAGAAAGGTAGTTCATGCTTTCTTAGGTTTGAAAGTTTTAGTCACTGTCATTCTTATTTTCAAGCTAACAAAGTTTTCCTTTGGACAGTGAAGGTGGGAAAGAGAATCTTTTTAAACAGACATTTCAAAAACTTCATTATGTCTCTTTTATGTAAATTTTTAATTTTTTATTCTTATGTAAAAGCTGTTACTTAGACTTGAGTTGGTATTTTTAGACATTCATCAAATTGTCATTTCATTATTTAAAAATCACTCCTTTTCAGGAAATGGATGACTAATATTAATGTCATCATTATCAGGAAATAGCTCAGCATCTGTGTGATATTTTGTAGATGTATTGAAATTCATTTTACAGGTTCGGTTTTTATAGCACATCTTAGCTAGTTACTGTGTTATGAAGGAAAGATTCTCCTTACTGTAGCATAATGGACCTAGCATCATGATTTTAGAGAAGTGTTAAGTGGGAAGAGTTAGTTAGCTGGAACTAAAAGATGGATTCTCAGGAACTGATTTGCCTTCTGAAATTTTGGTTTGTGTTGGCAGGCAGAGAGCAAGATATGAAAGATGAAGCAAAGCTGGGGAACATTACTTTTCTTTATTATTGATCTTGATGTAATAGAAATTATTTAAAATACTTTCTCACCCTTAAATATCCTCATGCTTGGAAATAATAGCAGTTGTGTCTAATGATATGCTTTGGGATAATTGGATTTTGCTTTTGTTTTGGTTTTTAGTCATGTTGTATTAAAGGTAATTTAGTGTTCTGAGATTCACTATCTTAACATTTTTATCATGCAGATAGTATCTTTTGTATGAATATAATCTACTGATAACATGAGAAAAAGATTTGTGTATTTTGTTGACTACTGATTGAACTATATATGACTTTTGTTGCTACAAATATATATATATATATGTTAATAGTCATGGGTTTTTCTTCTGGTTACATTTTATAATGTAGATAATTTGTTAGGTAATTATGTATTAGTCCTGTAGAATAATAGTGACCTAAACCTTATCAGACTGTTAAAGGTAGAAATTGAATTCTAACCTGGCTTTTTTTTTTTTTTGGTGAAATCACACTTTGTTATTTTTGTTTTTAAATATAATTTTCAGTTTATTTCATGGATATGCATTACTATCTTAGATGATATAACTTTTTAAAGCAAATTTTTAAATAAGTGGTTTATTTCTATCTTGAGGAATATGGTTGTAGAGTTAGCTTGCTTATTCCATTCTGTTGAATAAAGATTAGGGACAACATTCAGAAATGTCCTTCTGTTCGGGTCAAAGATGGAGGTGGAGATCATGTGGTTTTTGTTTATTCATTTTAGGAAGACTTCCCATTTCGTTCTCCTACTGAATAAGAACACTGTTCTCATTTATTCTTATTAAGTTTGCTGAAGATTAGTAGCAGTTTTTTTCATGTATTGTCAATGAAATGGACATATGAGACAAAAATTTTCAAGTCCCTTTTAAATCTGGTTTCTCTTCATCCTCTTTCTCTTCATCCTCTTTTTGTTTCTATTCAATTACCCATGCGTTACATCTAATATTTATTTAACTTGACTATCCTTTAGGTACAAGAGAGCAATTTTATCAGTGTTCCTTCCTAGATGTTCTTTTTTTCCCTATTATTACAGAATAGCTTCCTCCATTGAGCTCCAGCTGCTGTTGTAGATAATACTGTGAGGTTGAACATTAATCTGTCTCAGCCTTTCTCAGAGTTATTCATCTGAATGAAAGAAGATTAAAAATTATTTGAGTGACTAATTTCTTAATTCTTCCAAAGATATGTAATAGTATGTAATTAGTACCATTCTAGTTACATAGAAGAATTATTTCATTACCTACCAAGGATACCTTAGGGCAGTGATTCTCAAAGTGTGCTCCTAAACCTGGACCCTTTGTCAGAAGGGTCAAAATTATTTTCTTAAAAGTTCCACAACATTATTTGCCTTTTTTATTTCCATTCTCTAATGATTGTATGGTGGGGTTTTCCAGAAGCTACATGATGTTGTAATATTAGAATAGATTGAATGCAGAAGCAGATATGAGAATCTAATTATCTTCTATAGATACATTAAAGATATTGACAAACATGTAAACAATTCTGTTCTTTCTAAGTTTTTGTTTCAGAAAATATTGTTTTCATAAAATATATCATTCAACATGTGATGGATTTATTTTGTTTACAATTAGTTAATAAATACAGGCAGTCCTTACTTTGTGTGGTTCCAGAATTTCGCAGTTTTGTTAAATAATATCAGTCCTACAATATGGGTCCAGTTTGAATTACCACTGTATATTAGCTGTAATTACATGAAACACGTATTCTGATGCTAGCTCTTTGGTTCACAAATCACTACATAAATAAAACATGCACATCATGATCAGTGACCAATCATATCACTCGTTTCAAAGTCTGTCTAGGATTGATCCCTATGCATCTGTTACTCAGTTCATGCACAGAAAGCAAAGCCTGTAATTCTGTTGCCTTCTTATCTCCTGGTGATAAAACTCATGTGATGTATTATGAAAATGGATAATCAAAAGAGTGATTTGGCTGACTTTCAAAGATGAAAGTACAGAAAAGAAACAGAGAGTGATAATGCTTAAAGTGAAATTTGAATCGAACATAAATGGAGTTGTAGAAGAAATAGGTGATCATGGGGATGTTGCCATTTCTGCTCCTTAGATATGCAGCCAGAGGAACTCAGGGAAGCGAACTTAGTGATAGAAATGAGGAAAGTGGTTGTGACAGAAAGGATGAAGATATCCCAGAGGAAGACAACACACTTCACATTAAAGTGCTTCTTGGGGAAGTTTTGCAGCATTGAACTGTAAAGGCTGAAGTGTTGGGAGCTGATTCAAACTTAGAAAAGAATTTGACAATTTGCCAAGGCATAGAAAAGATGCTTGCTCCATATCTTAAGTAACACAATGAGAAGAATAAGGAAAGCACTATTCAGATTATTCTTGATAGGTTTTTTACAAAGACATGAAACACTTTAATTCCCAATGTTCCTAATGGTTTAGATTACAGTGTACTAAATAAATCTATTTTACTATTTTTTCATTTCCCTCTAAATTATAACTGGCCATAAGAGAGTTTTTAATGTTTTCACAAAAATTTATAAAGTCACAGGACAGTTGTAAATTTTTTTCATTCAGTATAAAGATAATTTTGCATAATTTCAGCTTGCATGGTCATTTTTATGGTCCTGCACCACTTTGCTAAATGTGGACTGCCTGTATTTTAAAATTTCTTAGTTTAATTTCTAAATAAGAAATGATAAATAATAGATATAACATTATGATTACATTATGATTATATCTATTATGATAAATAATAACATATATTAAACACATATCTGTATGTTTCCCTTTAAACCTGTCTCTTCTATTTTCTGTCCTGATTAAATAGCATAGCCATCAAGCCTAAAACCTAGGGAATAGTTTGTACTCTTTTATCTCCTTCATAGTTTTCTTTTCTAATTATTTAACAGCTGTTATAGGTATCCCCTCCTCTACATTCCCCACTGTCTTAGGCACTTATACATCATCCTTCATAAGACATGACTATAATGAGAAAGCATGAGGGAGTTGTTTGAGTTGGCAGAACTGTTTTTGTATCCTGATTGTGATGGTGGTTATATGAATTTATACTTGTTAAAAATCACAAACTATTTCTTCTGGTCTTGGCATCATGTGCCATTTAAACATTTCTTTGCCATTCTTTCAAAATTGAGCTTACAAATAAATGAACAAACACTTACTGAGTACAATGTTCAAGGTATTTTCCTAGGTGCTGAGGAAGGTACAAATGTACAGAAGGCATGTTTCTTCCCTGAAGGAATTTATATTCTAATAAGATAGAGCTAAAAAAACATGATAAGATTAATTGTAATTAATTTTTAAGGGCAAAAAAATGCTAGCTTGTGCTTAGGATTGTGCAGGTGGATAATTCTTCATTAAAGAGATGGCATTTGAGCTGAGAGTTGGAAAACACATTGATTTTTGGTAGTTAAAAATAGAGACACAGAACATTCTGATAAGAAGGGAAAATACAGCACACTGTCCAGATTTGTAAATTTTCTTATATGTATGTCATAAAAACTTTGGATCTGTACTCTGTGAATGCTCACATACTATTTTATTCTATTTTGTGCTTTTAAAAGCATTTTAGTCTGAAGCTCAAATTTCTTATAAGTAGTAGTACTATGCCTCTTTGAGTATTTTGGAGTTAAATCATTTAGTTAGGTCATATTTTGATTCTGATTTTAATGGCTGTGAGGACAGTGAGCTATTTCTAAGTCTCAGTTTGCTCTATAGATACTATCTTAGTCCTTTCAGGCCACTTTAACAAAATATTTTAGACTTGATAATTAATAAAAACCAGAAATTTATTGCTCAAAATTCTGGAAGTTATAAAGTCCAAGATCAAAGCACTTTCAGATTAGTGCCTGGTGAGGCCTCATTCCTTATGCCTCCTGTGTGTTCTTACAGGGTAGAAGAGGTAAACAACCTACCTAGGACCTCTTGTATAAGAGCACTAATCCCACTCAGGAGGGTTCTTCCCTCATGATCACCTCCCATAGGTCCCACCCCTTTATACTATTGCATTGGAGATTAGGTAGCAACATACGAATTTTGGGAGGACACCAACATTCAGACCATAGGAAATAGTAAATATGTAAGTGAAAAGCCTGATATTTCTATAAAATTTTCCATTTACAAAATAAATTTGAATAAATGGAGTTTTCAGAAGATAAAGTCCTATAAAACATTTCTGCAATTCTTCCCAAAATTACCTTTCTCTCATTTTTTCATCCTTAGGTGAATGAATCAACTCTGCCTAAAAGCAACAATAATCTTTTCTTCATAGGTTTTCTGTGAAGACCCTGATTGATCGGTCTTGCTTTGAGACAATTGATGATTCTTCTCCTGGATTTAACAATTTTGCAGCTATTTTGGAACAGATTCTAAGCCACCGGCTAAAAGGTAAAAGCACAAATGTATTACTTATTCCCCCAACAGCTCTCTTTATAATAAGCTTGAAATTTTAGAAATCATACAGTCAGGTGTGACTTATATAGCAGCCATGCTACATCTTGGGAAACATAAAACCAATTTCAGAATGCCTAGTCTTTTGGCCTGTGTCCTTAGAAAAGAATCTCTATTCTCAGATTTACACCTATTTATGGGATGTATTAAAAATGTCAAGTGTATTAATTGCCACATACAAGGAGCAAAATCACTTTCCATAAGTAATTAAAATATAAGTTTAAATTAAAAGTTAGCCCATCCCAAAAGTTACTAGATAGTATTTTAATCAGTTTACAAAGACACATTCTAGGTTTTAAATTTGTTTGCTGATCATCTACTTTCTTAAACTTAGGAATCTTTGAAAATTTTTTAGCAGTAAGTAAAATAGAAGTTAAAAAAAAGGTACATAAAAGAGATGCTTAACTTTGGTTTTCTTAAATCAGTTAAGTGTATTTACATTAGAAATGTAAATCTCTTAAAATTTAAGGGGTGATATGGGAGATATATTCTCTCTGAATTTAAAAAAATTTTTACATTAAAAATATATATCTAAAATATAGTTGATAAAAATCAAGGATTACTTTTAGTATAAATCTTAGTAACAAATAAGAACTTTATCACATTAATTTCATTATCCAGGTTTCCTAAAAGAGACTTGATCAGATGTTTTTACTTAACATTTTAACATCTTTACAATCTTAATGATGTAGTTTTAAGTTAGTAATAATCTGCTTTGGTAATATAACTTACCAAAGAGAATTTTAAGTATAATCTTAGGGTTAATTCTATCCTGTACTTTTTGATGCTGATAGCATCCAGGTTTTGCTATATAAGAGTTTAAATCAGTTGAGCAGTCCTATGGGCCCAAAGCAAAGCATTGAACTTAATTACATGGGAAAAAAAATCTGAATTTATTCAACCCTTTACAGTTTAACATGGGGGGGGTCCATAAAATTACTGATACTTTTTTGGTTAAAATTTGGTTATTTTGCCTGTTGAAAGGGTTACTTTTCCCTTATTATTGCTTTTATGTATTTCCTAAATTTTCTGCTATTAATATGTTACCTTTTATAAGAATATAAATTTTTTATAAAAGCAAAGGACATGGAAAGTATTTCATATTCTGTGATATTTTCAGGGTTATTATACTCTGTGGTGATCATATTTTTAAATTTTATACATAAATTTATAAATAATACCTCTCTAAAAATACATGGAATACAATAAACCTTCAGGTGCTTTAATGTTCACAAGCATTTTATCTTAAGATCTAATCCTATGATTTGGGATAACATTTAACATATGATTCTCTCAGAGAATACATAAAAACTATCAATAGAAAACAGGCCATGTTGAGATTTTCATCAGTCTTTGGGCAGACTCACTACCATGTAAGTGGACTCCTTTTGCATACTAGTCTGCCATCTTCTCAGTTGTACCTCCGCAAAATATAGATCATAAACCTTCAGAATTGCTTCTAAACAATCAAATCTATTAATTATATTTCTGAAAAATACTATAATGGCAATAGAATACCTAATTGACTTATGGATAATAATTCCACCTGTGTAACTAAGATAGTAAGAAAGCTAATACAGTAAGATTTGTATTAACTTTTTAAGCTATGTAAGATGAACAGTTCAAAGCATGTTTTTAAAAAAAATGTCTATAAATTGACTATTGTGGTCACTGTGATTGGTATATATAGCTATGAATTATGAAATCATCTATAACTTTTGAGATGAGATTTTTAAAGACTCAAGGATCTGGAACTTTCACATATTATTTGCCATTTTTTACTATTTTTTATATAACAAATTGCTTTTACTTTTGGAATTATTGTAATAATATACTCTGTTCACTTAAGAGTTAGTTATATGGCAACTAATATTTTCCAATATTTTCCTTTATAGAAGTACAAATTAAAAATAAATAACTTAATGAGTTTATGAGATTTATTTTTCTACAGCTACTGCCTATTTTTGAAATAAATGGGCATTTGGTTTAAATGTTAAATTTTTCCAGAGAAAGAGTAAATATCCTTTAGACACAATATAGGCTGTGCTGACAACAGGTAAAGTGAAGAACTACAACAGTTATTTATTTAATTTACTCTAAAAGTCCTGTTGAAGAAAAGGAGGCATTTTAAATGATATACATTAATCTTATTTGCAGTAATCCCTTAGTAAGATGATGATCTTAATTCTCTGGAATATAGCTGAGAAGTAGGAATTAATCACAGAATATTAGAATCGAAAGAGTTCAGGTTCTTCAGTGTAGTAATTTTTGAACTTTTATTTATTTATCTTAAAGCATAATATTTCTCTCCCCTCACCACCCCTACCACCGCTAATAAAAGCCACTACAGAAGCTGGATATGTAAGTAGAACATTTTGTTGAAGCCAGGGGTGGGGAAGTCAGGCATTTTGCCTGCTCAGGAACAAATGCACTCTGCTCTAAAACTCCACACCGCCACTTCAGGTAGTGTGGAGGATCACAAATTGAGAAACATTACTTTTTTCTAGTCTCTCTCCTTCTGAAGCAATCCACTCAACAATTTTTCTAAGAGGTGGACAGTGTTTACTTTAATACTTCTGATCTCTGAGAACTAAATAGATTAGTCTGTCACATTTTTGGATAGTTCAGATTGTTAGAAAATTCTTAAGTATATGAAACCAACCTATCTTATTATTATACTTTGATCTTTTTTCCTGCTATATTTTTCAAATGTGAACCTAATAAAATATTAGAATATTACTATTATATAACCTTTTCTCTCAGTTCTCCCTTTTTCTCCCTCTCAGATAAGACATCCCTAGTTTCTTCTGGAATCTTCTGGAATCACCACAGTCTTAGTTATTCACCGATGTGTTAGTATTATTCTGAAAATATGGTTCTCAGAGCTGAGTAAAATGCGTCAGATAGGCTAAACTCTGTATTAGTTAGAATTTAAGATTACATTGACTTTTTGATTGCCCCATCAAAATTTTGGCTCACATCGAAATTGAGGCCAAGTAAAATCTCAGGGCTTTTAGTTGAATTTTTAGTTTTAGTTTTCTTAATTAGTTTGCCTGAACTGAGGTTTGATAGAGATAAGTGCAATATTATTTCTTTCATTATCTACTTCAGAAATGGATGAGGTGGCTATTAAAATATAAATAAATGGAAAGATATCCCATATTCATGGATTAGAAAAATTAATATTGTTAAAATGTCCATACTGGGAGACTGAGGCAGGAGGATTGCTTAAGCCCAGGAGTTTTAGGTTATATGAACTATGATCTTAACACTGTACTCCATCCTGGGCAAAAGAGTAAGACTCTTTCTCAAAAAAAAAAAAAAAAAAAGTCCATGCTGCCCCCTACTCAAAGCAATCTACACATTCAATGTAATCTTTATCAAAATTCCAATGACATTTTTCATAGAAATAAGATAGTCCTTAGCAGAAAACTTGGTTCCTTAAAAAAAAAAAAAACAAAAAAAACAAACAAACAAAAAAAAAAGAAATAAGATAGTCCTAAAATTTATATGAAACCACAAAAGACCCCAAATAGCCAAAGCAATCTTGAGCAAAAAGAACAAAGCTGGTGGCATCAAACTGCTTGACTTCAAAATATACCACAAAGCTATGATAATCAAAACAGCATGTTACTAGCATAAAAATGGACTCATAAATCAATGGAACAGAATAGAGAGCCCAGAAATAAATCCGTGAATTTATGGTTCATCAATTTCCAACAAAGCTTCCAAGAACACGTAATAGGGAAAGAATGGCCTCTTTAATAAATAGTGTTGGGACAGCTGAATATCCATATATAGAAGAATGAAATTAGATCCTTATCTTACACCGTATACAAAAATCAACTCAAAATGGATGAAGGACTTAAAAATTATAAGACCTGAAACTAAATCTACTAGAAGAAAACATAAAAGAAAAGCTCCATAACATGGGTCTGGAAAATGGTTTTTGGATATGATACCAAAAGCACAGGCAACAACAGAAAAATAAATACGTGGAAATATTTCAAATTAAAAAGCTACTGTCTAGACAAGGAGACAATGAACAGAGTAAAGGAATGAGAAAAATATTTGCAAACCATACATCTGATAAGGGGTTAATATAAAAAATATATAAATAACTCAAATCAATAGTAATAAATAATCTGATTTAAAAATGGGCAAAGGACCTGAATAGACATTTCTCAAAAGAAGACATGTGAATGGCCAATGGGTATATGAAAAGGTGTTCGGTATCACTAATAAGCAAAGAAATGCAAATTAAAACCATGAGATGTCACCTCACACTTATTATAATGGATATTATGACAAAGACAAACGATAGCAAGTGTTAGAGAGGACATGGAGAAAAGGGAACCCTTTCACACTATTTGTGGGAATGTAAATTTAGTATAGCCATTATGTAAAACTATAGAGATTCCTCAAAAAATTAAAAATAGAACTGCCATATATTCCAGCAATCCCGCTACTGGGTATATATCCAGAGGAAATGAAATCAGTATCTAAAAGAGTTATCTGCACTCCCATGTTCATTGCAGCATTATTCACACTAGCCAAGGTATGGAATTAACCTAATTGTCCATCTACTGATTAGTGAATAAAGAAAATGTAGTGCAAATACACAATGGAATGATATTCAGCCTTAACAAAGAAGGAAGTCCTGTCACTTCCAACAACCTGGATAAACCCAGAGGACGTTAGGTTAAGTGAAAATAAGCTAGATGTAAAGATAAATATACCTGATCTCACTTATATGTGGAATCTAAAAAAGTCAAACTCATGGAAGTAGAGAGTGAAATGGTGGTTACCAGATACTGGAAGGTGGTAGTTGGGGAGATGTTGGTTAAAAGATACATAATTTTGGTTAGATAGGAGGAATAAGTTCAGGAGATCTATTGTATGACATGGTGACTATAGTTAATAACAATATGATATAT